AGTGCTCTGCATTCCATGCTTCTAGTGTTTATAATTGAGCTTCCTTCAAAAATATTTTTTCCTGGCATATTTCCCTCCGTCTTTGAGTCCAGATGGAATTTACTGAGCACTTATCTCGCTTGGAAGTTTTTAATTAGGAGAAAAACAACTTATTTTTTCCTCATCTTATTACTTTGAATTCTACTTTAATTAAGAACTAATGCATGAAAAGATTAAATACATTATATTCAAATGAAGATGTATTAACAAACAGTGTTAGCATTCTCATGATCTGTGGGGTAGAACAGTGGGAAGAACCCTCTGATGAGGGAAAAATCTCAACTTGGCATGAGGGAACACGTGCATGCTCCTCGGCATTTAATTAAAAATGTCATTGGAGATCTGCTAAGTAACTTCCATCTTTAACAATGAATTCTAACCAGTGACTCAGGCCTCTCTAGACAATTTATTGGGAGAAGCTCTCAGTGTCTAGGTACAATAGATTCATAATGTCAGCTGCAAAGCAGTGTTTGTGCTATTCAGAGATACAAAAGTATCAGAAGACTACTAAGAAGTTCATATTGTGAAAGGCACTTAATTTAGAATTGAAATGTAATTATATTGCTGGGCTGCAATGGAGAAAGTGTACCTAATGAAAGAGGAAAGAGAAAAGAAATGAGGACAAGAGTATACTAATAAAATAGCAATGCAGGTGCTTAAACTGATGTGGGCTTCAGTCCCCCAACTATAAATCTGAGCTCCCTTGGCTTTAATTTCTGACCTTTGTGCTTTTGACATAAATATTTTCAGAAGATGCTAAGTCCATACAGGAGAGGAAAACATTTGGTCTTTAATAAGGATACTTGCAGCATTCACTGGTGAAGACTGGGTACAGAAGAGAGAATACAGCCCTAACTGGTTACCTCTGCCAAAGAAATTGTATGACACCATCACTCTTCATAAGCCAGGCAGGGGACAATGGCAAGGACAGAACTGGCTGGCTAGTTTGAAACCACCCAACATTCTACAGCTATTACAGACTGGGCTCCAGCTTAGTCTTCTGTTTAAAACATTTGTATATGCATATATACATGCCTATATAGACAAAGAAAACACCTCCTGAGATAAGATATCACCCTAACATTTTGACTTGTACCATGAAGTACAAGAACAAGACTCCTATTATTCTATTTCTTCCTGAGATTAATGGAATGTCTGGCTAGAAAAGTACATTATACAAATTTAAGGTTAATTTTGGGACACTATTATTGGAAAGGGGTCATGGATAATATGGCAACAAATAATTTAAATTATTCAAATAACTTTTTGGGGTAGTTCATAGAGTAACAAGCTCAAAACCAAAAAAAAAACATTCTTCCTGCATTCCAAATCAGTTTCTTTGCAGAAAGTGATTACATGTAAAACAACTGATGCACACTTGAGAGCACTAAATTAGCTTTTACCACTCAGGACTAAGTCCCATATGTCACTGTGGACAGTTCAATGAAAAACTTATGTTTCTTGCAGACAATCCATCAGAAAGATCAAAGGTGTTTAGAAAAGCATTAGGAACTGAAGAATAATCCCCAAACCTAACACTGACTTCAATTAAAAAAAGTGGGGAGGGCAGGGGAATCTTCTGTGCCTGTCTGTGTGAGAGAGTGATGGACAGGATCCATTCCATTCTGGTTCCAGATGGTATTCTGCTGCTTCACACATGCCACTGACCTAGCTAACATTTACTGCTGAAAAGCTGTAAGATTGTAGGTGAACTTCCTCCTATAGATAAAGATTGAAGCTCTTAGTATGACTTTGATCACAAGTCATATCTTGGCTGTCCGTATCCAGTTATTCAATACTCATTGCCACATATGTTTAAGGAATTCAGCAGTATTTCTTCTGTAAAAGAACCTGGAAACACTGGATAAGAATTTTAAATGAGCTACGGTTCTACCCCACTCTGCACCCCACTATTTTAATTCAAGAAACAAACTAACTTGAATAAACCTCATGAGAACGGGGCAACAAGTTTGAAGTTTCACTCATGATTATTAGTGCTACATTTTTGTACAGTCCCAGCTCCCATCTTAGGAAAGTCTGGGTTATCATCATGATCAGTTAACCCCATCTTTTTCAGTATCAGAGAACAGTGTTGAGCTGAGCAAAAGAATAATACAGAAGATGAGCGAGATGTAACAAATAAGTGGAGAAAACACTGAAAGCCAACTAAAAGTCAAAAGCATCCCTGATGTCATTTAAGGCAGGTTAATGGACTGACAACAAGGATAAATTAGAGAGCTGGAAATAATTTACAGATGGCTGAAGACATTCTACATTATACAAAAATGGGGTTGGCCAAACCAAACACTAAGAAGTGAGGCAACAGTTTCTGCAGGATTGAAAGCTGTCTTCTGTCGTTTTCCCTTTTTCATTTGACCTTTTAGAAGAGTCATTCACAACCTGTCCTTGTCCATGTAAAAAGCAATTCTAAGCTCAAAGCTTTGACTCTATGAGCAGATGGTGACCTTATCCCTGACTATTAGTTACCAGGCCACATGCAGCAGGCTTTCACATTCAAATTTAACTGAGATGACCGTACAGATGTAGAACAAAGCAATTTCAAACAGGCACAAAGCAAACAAGGAATGTGTCTAAACTGGGGAGGTTTGAATGGCTGAAAACAAAATAGCTTCTGACTTATTCTGAACAGTCTTGTTCAATTGTGAGACCTACAGAAAAATTCCCTCTGACAGTTTAATATACATAGCACTAGCAATATCACATACTCAGCTTATAGAAACACCAATTATTATTCACTGTGGCATTCTTCAGATGATCGTATTAAGCTGTCTATTGATACATCCTGCAAATCCTGAAGACTAGAAAATTTTCACTCTTCAGCTTTTCAGAATTAACCTTTTGACATAACTATCAAACTTAAGGAAGAGAATGGCTGCTTGGCCATAAGGTCCTCTAGCTAGAGCAGGTACAAGGTGAGCTGGAAGTGTATTACACAGCTTATGAGGTCAGATAAGCACAAGTACAGTTGCTCTACAGCAGAGTACACCAACATGCACAGTACACAACAGGACTACGCTACACAGATGATGCCCTCTGAAATCCCTATCTTCCAGGAGACAAGCTCCTATCCTCCATCAGAAATATCAGAACACACACACACACATGCCCATACTTCCCATGGGTACCAACAAATGTGCAGGTGGAATGCAGATTATTCTGCCTCCTTGCCCATCGCCCAATACAGGAAGGTGGGTATACGGATCATTTACGATGAACCATCAGCAAGTACCTTCATATACTCATCACAGACAGGATTATAATGCAAAATAATATTGGAAAAACTAGAGAAATAATTAAGAGAAACAATGAAAATTAAAACAGACCATAGCTATACATGCCATAAACTAGTTTCTAGACCCATAGATATTGAGTACTTCCACAAATACTCATATGTGTGGTGGCCACTGCTGAAAACCTGATCCACAACACTGAGCTAAAAGGTAGTGATAGGCTCATTTTTAGGTTTCACAACTCAGTGAGATTTTTAATGCGTGACAACCTTTCACGTCTGCTCTGGTTGGCAGCTGAGGGTTTTCATAAACAAATAGATTTCATTTATTTTTTACAACGGTAATAGGTCAGATGCAGAGAATCAATACCCCGAGATTAGGGAAATACTCGAGGCTAGAAATTCCAAAATAAGATAGTTATATGAAATGTCCTTTTATTAACTGCTCTCCTCAGAGATGCTTTAAGAAAGCATATTCATCATGCTCAAACTGAACTGATCATGGTACGACTTGCATCATACAACATAATGTGACAGTAGTGAAACCCTGAAATGACACAAAAGACAAAAACCAATTTTAAGAATTTTCAATTAAAAAGGTAGTTTATAGACCTGCAAAGTCCCATAAATAAAGAGGAGAAGGATTATGGCCGGCAGTGCTTTCAATTACTTCATTTACATGTGAAAGAGCTCAAATTCTAGTTAATTACACTGCAGACACAACCCTGGATATCCAGAGTATGGATATTAATTTCTCATTAGAAAACTCCAGCTTCTCTCTCTCTCAATTCTCCTTAAAGATCCTACATCTCACTGGTGTCCACAGATCTGCAGAAAACCAGCCAGCTAAAGTACACCAATACAAGTGTGACAAATACTGATATCAAAACTGCTTTCGCATGAATGTTTTATTCATTCCAAGATTTTTTTAGCTAAATACTCTGCTTATCTTTTCTTCTGGTAGATGTTCTCATTTCCTCCCCCTAGCTTTCTGCCTTTAATTCATCATTTACGTAGAAATGAATAGGAATTCAAGAAATAAACACATTTTGCAGTAATATCTTTGGTCATTCCCTCCTTTCTTTAAAAGTCTTTCCATCACACTACAGCACGTTCTCTGAAATCACTAGAGCAAGTAGTTTAAAACCATTTTCTTTATCCTCCTCCATACCGTATTCTACTAGACACACGCAGTTGTTTTTATGGGATTGTGAAAAGCATGTTGGGATATTAAATTTTACAAATCTAGATTTGTAGAAGTGTGTGTTTGTGTGTACTTTGTGTAAAACCTGTAGAAAGAGGAAAGCTACTGCTCCTCTTCCTTTGACTGAATGTTAATTTCCCCCACAAAAATCCCCTTAAATCCATCATGGTACTGCTGCAGTGCTTGCCCAGCTGCCATTCTTTACAAACACAACAACCCTGAGCACTGATACTGGATACTCCCTTAGGCTCCCTACCCCAGCTGCCTGTTGCAGTCAACAAAGCCTGTGAGAACCACCACAAATTTCTGTTCTCTTTCTTTCCTCTAATGTCTTGAACACAATGTCAACACAAACACCCCACTGGAAAAAGAAGGGTAAATGGGGGGATTGGCATTTTCTTATTTTTCTTAATTGATCCTCCTCAGGACAGTTGCATTTGTCAAGAAATGACCACTAAGACAGAACTTTCAAAGGACAACACCGTGCAGCTTTAGGGTCTTTTTCACCTTTCTGAAACACAACTTAGGCTTCCAATGTGGTTGGGACCAGGTGAGAACCTACAGTGCCAGTTTACAGGGCGTTCAAATGGACTCCAAGTATAAAAACCAACATGAACTAAAATGACCATTCCTTATTTGTTAACAATTAAAACCTCCAAACCTGTTAGTCTGTATCCATCTGTATGTGCCAGCTCTAGGAAAATCCACGACAAACCTCAGCTGAATTTATTAGCCCTGTAAAACAAAATGGAACCCAAATAATATTCACTACTCTATGTTTCTTAAAATTATACTTGCATCTTCTATTTGTTCTTCTGGGCTTCCACTGAGACACAGAACTGATTCATTCAGTTTCTGCCATAAATCCATCTATTGATGGAGGAAGCTCACTTCAACAACAGGTACTTCAATGGAGTCTTACGGCCTCCATAAGCCAGAATTCCCAAAATGCCCCTGAAGTGTTTCTCCTGGGCATGCTCAGTGTTCCCTTATTTCAGCAGGTTTCTGTAGGTATTTAGAACATTTCATACACAACTTCACATATGGAATTAGGATCCCCCATATATCGAAACATCCCAGTTCTCTCTCCCTTCCAACCTGGTGGCTTTTCCTACTTCAAAATCAACTGCGACAAGGATTCAAATTTATTAATACAAAGCCTGGCGTTTGATATTTTTCACAGCTCTGCTCTAACCATGCTGCTGCAGGGCGACAGGACACATGAATATGTGTTTACCCCCAACCTGCATCTAAAGAGGAAGGACTTCTGGTGCTGCAAATTATCTGAAGTGCTATTTAACCTTTTCTGGTACTGACATCATTTCCTTTGGGAGCAGAACAGAGGCTGTCATAGGTTATAGCTTTCATTCAGCGCAGTAGATCTCATCTAGTCTGGCAAAGGTTCTTCTCTGGCAATTGATTCCATGTTTTATTCATCCCAGAATTCTTTAAAACTGCAAATCAAAATGCCACTCTGCATTGCTAACCACATTATGAACCACCAGTACTGCAAATAAAGGTGCTTTCTGCATAGCAATCAGATTGCCTCTTTCCAGAGAGAATGAATTTAGCTCTGTATTTATCTCACTAATTGCATTCAGAGCATTACAAAGTATCACCCACCTCACATTTACATTATGCAAAACCTAATCTCCGTAAGTTACTAAACCAAAAGTGAGCCATACGTTTCCTCCTGAGACTCGGGAAGCACATTGTTTGAACTGTCAATCTATATGAATTAGATTTATCAGGAATAAGTTTAGATACCATAAAAGATAAGAGAAGAATAGCCTCAGAGCATGTGTGTGCTGTAAATTCAGTGCTTAGGAGAAAGCAGGACAGCTGACCAAGCACATGTTGCTGATTTTATGTCCCTCCAATTATTATGAAAGTGAAGAGACAGGGTCTTGAGTTCAGTTAAATTCAAGAAATAGCATAACATTCAAATGGAAAGCAGCAAGTGCCCTTACAGCTCCCCCTGCCAGGTGCCCCCAGGGCTCCATTAAGTTTATGGGTAAGATTATCCAGTTTTCATTGTCCCACTGCAAGCTTCAGAAATGAAAATATTCCACAAAGAGCTGTATAAATGTGTGTCCCAACTAGCAGAAAAACTACATTACACAAAGAGTTACAATTCAGGGGCCAGAACCTGCTGTTCTTATTTAGGCATAACTCCCACTGACGTCAATGGGTTCTTTGCTTGAAGCTGTTCTCAGTAAAAACTGAGAGTCTGAATCCCAGGTTGAAATGCTGAAGCTTAGAAAAAGTCTATAGGGTACATTATTGTAGCTAAGCATTGCCAAAGGTTTTTAGTTACTTTGTGCTGTAATTAGTGTTCCACCTCCTACTCTATTAGCTCTACCAGTGTGTAAAGCACTCTTCACAAATTTCTACAATAGAACAGATTGAGAGAGCGCATTAAAGACAGTGTTTTCATACTACGGATTCTTTTCCAGTTTTAATTCTTTGTAAAGGTCCCTGTTCACAGGAATGGCTCATAAGGTTGATGCATTATTATTCCACAGCCTTTCTTTCAAAATGCCAGTGATTCAGTCTTCCAAGATGAAACCATGTCACACCAGAAGCAGTGAGTAATACTTGTGAAGTCTAATTGCACCATTTTTCAGTAGGACATGGCCTTGACATGTCAGTCTGGTCATATTATGGTATAAACATGACACTGTAAGATACTAAGAAGAAGATAGTGCTTTGGATATCTGCATATACACAAGACAAGGCAATAAAGCTGATCTTTGTTTGGACACAAAGAGAAAAACATCAGAACTATGATTACAAAGCTAAATAGAATGACAGCAAGGGACAGACCACAGGTACCCCAGCACCCTGCCTCAGAGTGTGGGCAACAGCACAGGCTATTACAGGGATACCTTCTCAAAGTACCAGTTTAGCATATTTAGATTTCCTGAATGTATCTTGGTATTTAATAGCTCTCAGTGGTTTTTTTCTTTCATTAATTTCTCCACTCATTTTCAAACCTATGCTTACTTCGCCTCCAAGTGTCTTCTAGCAAGGAGGGCAGATTATGTTGCGTATGCAAATGAGGTTTCCTTCTGTGTAAAAGCATGAACTTCTTCCACAAAAAGTTTTAAAATGTGGCATCATTATTTATTGCTGTTGCAAACTCTGAAGTTATCGGTATTTTCTGTAGCACTCAACAAAATGGAGAGTAAACACTAATGAATTTACTTTGAAACATGTGAGAGAAGGTAGATAAATATTTGATTTTTATATTAGAGTATAACACGTCTATTTGCCTCAGTATGTCAAATGTCACTGGCAGCATGTGGCAAACCCAAGACTAGAATTTAGGGCATCAGCTTCTCTACCTGCTCCTTAGTACAAGATAAGGGGAGAAAAAAAAAGAAACCAAACCACAAGAGCCTACAGAACGAGATCAATACTGAAGAGCTTTTAAAAGCTTCAGAATAAATGCAGATGTGACCAGGGTTAATGAAGCTGAAAGACAATGCATCCATTTTTTCAATATTTGTATTTGTTGTGGTCTTCACAGCTTTGAAGATGAAATACACGGGGGCTGCCCTGTGCCCTTAAAAAGCATCTGTATTTTCCTCTGTACTGACTTCGTTCATAATATGCCTCTCTTTTTGAGTAAACCATATTGCTTTTGCTTCATCATTGGCTAAATAGGATTTTGCAGTGTTTCTGCTTGTGGAATATTCTGCCTATAGAATAAGCCTACTGGTTGAATTCTTTGCAAACAGCTCTCTGTGGAACAGAAACAAAACCATGCCTCCCGAAATGCAATAAACATCTTGAATAATCCCCTACAAATTAAGAATGACACTATAAAAACATTGTTCATCGCACCTGCTTTAAAAGCCAAATGGAAAAAATTACCAACCTTGGACTGTGATACGCTAATTCATGGAAGTATTTTTATGGGTCTTTGATTCTATCTCCAGAGCTTCAGCCAGGGATAGGGGTGGAATGGGACATGACAGTGGGGGGAGAAGGCCCAAAACCCTAATCTGCATGTACTAATTTTCACAGAAAACCAGGACAGTGGGAAAAGGGGATGTTATCTCTCCTCAAGGAGATTTGTGATGCCCATTTTTGTCTCTTTCTTATGATCAATTTTGAACAACTCTTCAGTGATGCTGTGTGGTGCCTTGTTATAATGAAAGCACTCTCTGATCTTACAGAATAGTACGATGGGGCAGATTTTCTCCATCATACACTACTATCACACAAAAATGCACAAATACACCTACTTAGAGAGAATAACTGCTCATGGAGCAGTGCTGAGGAGAAGTTACAAAAGAGTTTTTAAGCCAAAGACAATATTGTCTCAAATGGACCAGAAATATATAAATTCAACCAGGAAAAGTTCTGAGTAGTTGCTGAATTTTCTTCCTTCAAATATAACATCTCTTTTTCAGTGATATATGGATATACACAAGCAGCTGTGAAGCACTAAGGTATAGTCATATTAAGAATTTTCTCTTTCTCACCCATTTACATGTATTTTATACACACAGAGTTTTTTTGATTTTGAAGTAGAATCAGTGGGTCATTCTTATTTTAAAAGATAAAGATGTGTCCACCAAACCACAAAGAGAGAAAGAGAAAACCTTTATTTTATCCTAGCAATTTCTGTTCTGAATAATCTGTCACATCATCAGTTAGACCTCAGCTGGGCAATCCTGAAAACCTGTGCATCAGATTGTGTGTTGACTGGTAGAGCTAAAACCCAACATTGCATGCAATATGTTTCCATGATCCTACTTAAGAGTTTAAATGCTGTAGAACCTACAAAAAGTCAGGAATGAAGTTATGGCAGAGAATCTAAATACAGAAAGGGGAGCTAATGCTGTTATGATTTCAAGGCAAGCTGGCAGTGCTTTGGAATTTTCTCAAGAATGACACATTAAATTGACATTACTAGAAACTGGCCCTGATGAAACTAAATGGCTTATAAAAGCATTAATAAAACCCTGTCCTAATGATTAAGAGTCCACCATTTTCTTTCAGGGATTAAATGTCTAATATGACATTAAAAGGTTTAATGACTTCTTCATGAATACTTCAGTTAAATTAGTTTACTAACTTTACAATATAAATTTAAAATATTTTTAAAAGCCTTCAAGAAATCCTTATCTACCTATTGTAATGGGGACCCAGGAAGCAACTTGACTGTATAAAAATCAATAGGCAAACTACAGTAGTGAAAGAAGAATTTTTCTATATGGCAGAAGCTGCTGTACAAAACCACTAATTCAAAGGTAACACTCACTGCAGTTTGATCCTTTTTGTATGAGCTGCCCAATTTTTTTAATGGCTGATCTACCAATTTACATGCTTTCTCTCTCACAAAGTTTTAGAAAATTCTGGTAAATAATGAAAGATCGACTGTGTCACGTAAATATGATTCAAGGTTTGAGAAAACGAAACACTAATGCATTTGTGAACACGTCCTCTGTTGCTTTCAAGAATAAAGCTGCAAGCAGTTTAATTTCTCACATACACTCTGAAAAGATTTTATTAGTCACATAACACAACAGTTCTGAATGTTCACAAATATTCAGCAAACAGCAAAAGCTGTTTATTAAACT